CTACACCAGTCCCATCTGTTTCCCCATTATATCAACCCAATCAATCAATTAATTAATCCCATTCAGTTGATTAAATGCTTACTTAAAAAGCAGTCACTCATCAAAACAATACGGTTGTCCTGATGCAAATGACTTTTCAGGACCTTTCCATGATGTTGAAACCTGGTGCCTGGAATCCTCTGAGCTAGAACTCAACTCTGTTAGAACAAGAGGCATGAAATATTAATGTAATTCAAACCTCATGTAGCTCCTGGCTTCCTGTAAAATGAAGGGACTATGAATTGTGTATAACTGATCCAATTCCTCTGCCTACCCCACGGACCTGGTGGGCGGCACGGTGGCTCAGTGGTTAGCACTGCTGTCTCACAGTGCCAGGGACCCAGATTTGATTCCACCCTCTGGTGATTGTCTGTGTGGAGTTTGCATGTTCTCCCCGGGTGCTCCGGTATCCTCCCAGGTGCTCCGGTTTCCTCCCACAGGCCAAAGATGTGCAGGCTAGGTGGATTGGCCATGCTAAATTGCCCATAGTGTTCAGGGATGTGTAGTTTAGTTGGGTTATAGGGGGATTGGTCTGGGGGGGGATGCTCTGATGGTCGGTGTGGACTTGTTGGGCTGAAGGGCCTGTTTCCACACTATTGGGATTCTATGATCTATGATAACAAGAGATAGAAAATTAGAAAGAAGAAGATAGGGGTAGGCCATGTGACCCATGAACCTGCTCTGACATTGAATGTGATAATGGCTGATCATTGAGCTCAATATCCAAATCCTGCCCTCTCCCATATCCCCTCTTGAAATATCTACCTTCTTGAGAACACACAATGTTTTGGCCTCAACCACTTCCTGTGGTCGTGAATTCCATACCACTCGCTGAATGAAAAAATTTCTCCTCGTCTCAACCCCTAAAAGGTTGACCCTTTATCCTTAAACTGACCTTGCCGATCATTGGGAACATCTGTCGTGTACCTAACCTGTCAACAGCTTTTGCACTGGTGGTGTCTGCAATTTATCGTATGAGAGGTCACCAGAATGCAGTTGTCCATGGACAAGGAAAATATTCGTTGCGTCTTGCACCGCAGGCCAGAAGGAACTTTGAAGGAGAAGTTCTCTTGATTTGAGGTTAATGGAATTAGTAAGTTTCCATACAACTTTATTTGTTAATTAGTGCACTTATTGATGCCAATTATAGTCATGTTTTAATCTCTCAATTTTGCGCACCAAAATGATTTGTGTATATAATGTCTGACATGTATAGCATGTAGAATTATGACTTGTAAGCCTTGAAAGATTATATTCTATATTGTCCCTGTATGACTGAAAAGAATATACTTGCTGGTGGACCTTTTTTAGATGTTTTCAGGTTACCTGTTGATGATCATCTTAGGATGTTGCAGTTGTTTGTCGTCTGACATTTTTTTTTGTTGGATCTGTTCTGCTTAGTGTTGACTCGGATGTACGGAACTGATGTTGCAGTCTTGAATATTCTGGTGTTGCATCTGATAGGTTTATTGTCTCAAGGATCATAATGCATAGATTCATACACGCTAGTGAACCAATAATAGAAAGTTCATTAATTTCAATAATGTAAAAGATTTCCACTGACCATCTTGAGGAGCTGTATTGATATATAAGCTGAATAATGCCAGTTGTAAATAGTTAACATATCCTGTGTGGACTATAGCACAATGTGTCAGTTTCCTCTGTACATATTGCATAGGATGCATAATGTGATGGTATTTACACTCATCTGGTGTTGATTTAGGCAAAGAGTGCATGTTGTCCCTTCTTTTGGGATAAATCATTTGAATAGAAGTAAAGGCATCAGTTTTTCTGACAGCAGGTATGTGATGCATCATGTTTACCACATGTACTATCTAACAGGAAGTTGCAAGCTTTGTTGACATGTTTGTGCGGCATGAATGGAATTTTCAAAAGCTCTTTAGTATCATTTCTTGGTGGGCTGCTATTCACGTACTTCTGTAGAACATTCTGTTTACTTTGGATTTTTCTGGGTAATTGGATTTCTTGCACACTTGTAGAACATAGCTTGAATGTGTCACCAAATGCTGGATACTATTTCAGTGGGTGCGCTAAGCCACATAGACAATTTGTGAGTTGTACTGAGCCTGTTTAAATCTACTGTAGTTAGTCTAGGGTCAAGCCCTTGCAGATGGTGGTGTTGTGCTACAATTGCTTTGAACTTGCATCCTTCATCAATTAGAACATCAGTAGTAATTGATGGGTGAAATGACAATGTCCATTTCCGTAAATGTTAAGCTAAATTAGCTTCACTTAAATCACATTCTTTATTATTGTGTCATCACCTGCCTATCACTTGCTCCATCATTTCATTTGGCTGTTGCCAGTATGATATGAACTGAAGCCTTTGTGTCCTGTAATTGACTTTAACCTTCAGTTGATCTTCTTCTAACATTTGTAAATGTTTCTGGAATCTCTGATCGTTGACTCCTGGCCTCTGGCGATGACTCCCAGTCTGGTGTGGCAGCCTCCTGGCATGGCATGGCAAACTCCTGGCCTGACGTAGCGACCTCCTGTGGTGGACTCCTGGCATGGCATGGTAATTTCCCACCCTGGCATAGCAGTGTGGCTGCCTTGGCCTGGTGTGGCAGTCTGAAATGATCTCCCAGCCTCATGATTCTGAAGGTGAATTCTGGTGTGGTCTGGAGCCAAGGCCCGGTGCGGACTGGAGGCTAAGTGCCAGCGTGTTAAGGGTTGGAAAATGTTGTTATGAGCTTTTATTTCTGCAAAGCTGGACATTTTATTTCTCTACGCTTCCAGACCTTGTAACTAAAGAAGTTGTATCTAGGTACCTTTGCCACCTACCAGTGCCATCTTAGGTATAATGTACTCATTGAGTATATATGACAATGAAGCTAATTCATTTGTCTGTTCGTCTGTCTGTAGGTCCATCCATCATATTTTGGGTGGTTTTATTCTTATCTCTTCAGTGCCCAGAGTGAGAAGAAGTTTGACTATCAGTCTTTGTCAGCTACCTACTGATTGTTAAAGTAAAATTCTTGAACCTTTAATTGTAAGGAAATGTCTGTGTTGCTTCTATATATTGTCTTCTCGGCTGTTTTTATAATCACATCTTTATAAGTTACAAGCTTCCACCCGGAGGTTGAGTTTTCGCTTAAAAAGCGTGAGCTATGATGTCACATTTGTTATGAGAGCCAAGGTGTTGGAATCAACCTATGACCGAACATGGTCTTTTTAATACATAAAGTTTTTTCTTGGTGTCTTTTCCTCTGCTATTTACCCTAGAGTTGGTGCTGAGAGGATGGCACTAAACATATAAAACCATATCTGAGCCATTCTGGGCCTAATGTAAGCTGCCATTATTTGTTTTGAAAAGGAGCAATAGGGCTAGAGAACTCCCTGTGCTTAAGCACAGGCTTTCCATTTCAGTTGAGTAGTCCAGTATTGATGGAGTAATAACTTGAGCTTTGCACTCTGATAGGTTAATGGTTGAGTGTTAGGAAAATGATGTTTCCCAATTGTTGTGCTGCTATGACCACTTGAGCCTTCAGCATCCTCTTGCTGCCAATACCTGGCTGTCACGACTTGCTTTTAGTACACACTTACTACTACCATGATGAGCCTTTTGGTGTTCTGTATGCTACCTTGTGTAACAGAATTGAGTTCTTGTTGAGACACATCTTGAAATTCATTCATAACATTGCTGACATTGCTGAAATATTACAGCCATCATTTGGGTCTGAGCTTACTGATGGATATTGTACACATAAATAGCTGACTGAAGACATAACACTGACTCAAAGACAATAGAGAGACTGAAAATAGCTTTTTACCAGAATATCACATTGTGATGTTACATAACTGTTTTAAAGGTTCTGGCCTGTTTAGTCTGGAAACTATGCCATTATACATTTTAAGTAGTCTTGAATGACTACATATGCAGACTTGAGTGAAGTACAGACTTTGGTTTTTTGTCGTAGGTTACAAAATTGTTTTAGGTGGACAAATTATTTGCATTGAATCAGATAGGTAAGCTCTGGATCATGCTTACCAGTTTGAACATTGTCTGGAAAAGGGCCATCCAATGTTAAATCTATAAAACAGATTCTTGGTCTGTATGTTGCATTTTTGCTTCTTTATGTACTTTGGAGATAGTTGGACCTGTGTATGAAATCGCCTTATAGGGTTACCCCATAGTAAAACTTAGAATAACTCTGGTATCCTGCGGTTAATCTTTCACTAATGGTGTTTTTTTTTTGCAATGTACAGGTGTTAATCTTTAGTCCAACATTTATATAGTGAACCATCACAAGTCTGCACCTCCTAACTGTCACCCCACTTTCACCAGTATCTCTTTTTTTCATCTCACATGGATGTCACATGCTTTATACCCATGGCCATCAAATCCTGAACTGAGATTTGGAAGTAAAATTTCTGGCCCAGAGGTAGGGACGTTAGCACTGGGCCATTAGATTTTTCTGTGCACTCAAGTGAAAGTCAATCAGTTTTCTCCACCTATATATAATTAAGCACAATTGCTATGCAATTAATATTCTGAACTAGTTTTGATTGATTAAAATTGTCAGAGTTGTCTATCTTTACCCCAGTTGTCCAAAGTTCCTTTTGAGTCCCGGAAATTATGTAACTCCTGGTAACTGAGTAGAGCCAACTGTTTAGAAGAAGGTAGAACGATCACTGGATTTGTTGTTGTACACTTTTTTTATAGGTTTGTACTCCATTGCTTTCTGTGCTAGTGGAAATTGCGTTCAATTTTTTGTAGATGAATTCATAGTGGTATGTCACTTCTATGCATTATGATTTAAATTAAACAGATTGCTATAACTAGTGTATATGCATCATGCACTGCACCTGTTGAGCTTCCTATATCAGGCATTCATTTATTAAGTTCTTAATTATATGAAGTAGTATATGTGTAATGTTTGAACTCATCAATATATTAAACCCAAAATAATTTTTGAACCAATGGTTTATCTCTGCAGGTGGTGGAAGGATTTTTGAAGAATCATACGCGTTACAATGACTTGAACGTTACCAGCAGTCCAGCTGATGAGTGGAACGTTGATGCAAGGATATACATGCTCAGCTTGCTTCCTTTTTTGATCATCTTTGTTTTTATTCGTGATCTCAAGTACCTTGCAGTATTCTCTTTTTTGGCAAATCTCTCAATGGCTGCCAGTCTTGTTATCATCTATCAGTATATTATTAGGGTAAGTTTTTAACTTGAAGAAAAAATTACATACTATCAATTGGTTAAATTCTTTTCCTAATATTTCAGACATATATTCAGCATGTACTGTGATAATAGTCAAGCTCACTAGTAAAATGCTGTTGATTACAATTCTTGAATGCATTGTACAAATCTACCTGCAGAACCTTATCAAATTTTTGATAGTGAAGGGTGCTCCCTCAAGTTCTGGTGGCATGGTGGCTCAGTGGTTAGCACTGCTCCCTCACATCCATATTGTGGATATAATTATGGAGGTAAAAGTATGCTTTAAATTGAAAAGATGTATTTGATTGATTGACTTTATTGTCAGGTGTGGAGCTTTGTTTACGAGCGGTACAAGCAAATCATAGCAAGCAAAGGATGTACAGATCAAAAAGACTTGGAGGCATACAGGTTACATTATTTGAGGCTAGAGTCTATTCAACAGTCTGATAACAGCCAGAAAGAAGCTATTCCTGAACCTGCTAGTGCGTGTGTTTGGGCTTCTCTATCTCTTGCCTGATGGAAAAGGTTGTCGGAGGCCATTACCATGGTGCGATGGGTCTTTGTTGATGTAGGCTGCCTTTCCGCGACAGCAAGCCGTGTGAATAGAGACTGTGGATGGAAGGCTGGCTTCCATGATGGTCTGGGCTGTGCATACCACCTTCTGTAGTTCCTTATGGTCCTGGGCAGAACAGTTATGCACCCGGACAGTATGATTTCAATGGTGCATCTGTAAAAGTTGGTGAGGGACTTTATCGACATGTCAAATTTCTTGAGCTGCCCGAGGTCAAAGAGACGTTATTGTGCCTTCTTGACTGTCGCATTTATGTGTGAAGTCCAGGACAGGTTGTCAGTTATCGTCACTCTGAGGAACTTGATGCTGTTCACTCTCCCAACCTCAGCTCTGAATGTAGACGGGGACATGTTCTCCTCCTTTCTTTCTGAAGTCTATGATCAGTTCTTTAGTTTTGCTGATGTTAAGAGACGGATTGTTTTCATTGCACCATGTCACCAAGCCCTCTGTCCCTTCTGTATTTTGACTCGTTGTTGGATATCTGTCCCACTATGGTGGTGTCGTCACCAAACTTTTAGATCGCATTCATTCACAATTTGGCAATGTGTAGAGTGAGTACGGTAGGGGGGCGAGGACACATCCCTGGGGGGTTCCAGTGTTGAGCTTTATTGTGGAGGAGATGCTATTACCTATCCTCAAGGATTGTGGCCTATGGGTCAGAAAGCTGAGGATTCAGTTGCAGAGGGCAGAGCCAACACCAAGGCCACGCAGTTTTGAGATCAGTCTGGAGAGGATAACGCTGTAGTCAATGAGCAAGAGTCTGGCGTAGGTGTCTTTGTTGTCCGATGTTCCAGGGATGACTGCAGGGCTAGGGATACGGCATCCTCCGTGGATCTGTAATGTCGGTAGGCAAACTGTAGGGGATCGAGGCAGATGGGGAGACTGGATGTGGGCCATGACCAACTTCTCAAAGCACTTCATGATTATTGAAGTCAGAGCTATTGGGCATTAGTGATTACTGCACACTGCATGTGTTTTCTTGGGCACGGATGATGGGGTCTTCTTGAAGCAGGTGGGGACTTTGGCTTGTCGAAGGGAGAGGTTGAAGATGTCAGTGAATACCTCCACCAGTTCATCTACACACTATCTGAGTGCTCGGCTGGGGACACCATCTAGGCCCATCACTTTCCTTGTTGACTCTGAGGAAGACTGGTCTGACTTCTCTGAAGAACAGTTGAGTATGGGGCTGACCGGCAGGCATTGCCATCCTGGTTGTATTCTGTTCAAAGCGAGCATAGAAAGCATTGAGCGTGTCGGGGAGGGATGTGTCATTGTCCACTATCTTACGCTGTTTCATTTTGTATCCCGTAATGTTGTTTAGACCTTGCCGTACTTGGCAGGAGTCAGTTTGGTAGGTCTGGGCCTCTAACTTGGTCCGATACTGTCTCTTTGCCTCCCTCATGGATTTGAGAGGTCATATCTGGATTTTCTGTATTGGTCCGGGTCACCCGACTTGAATGCTGCATGTCTGGTTTCAGTAGGGAGTGAATTTCCTGGTTCATTCAAGGTTTATGGTTGGTACACAGTCCTCCATGCATTTGCTAATGAAGTCGGTGATGGTGGTGGCACACTCGTCTAGGATTTCTGCTGAACATGGTCCAGTCCACCGAATCCAAGCTGTCTCGGCCCAGCACTACGTCGTTTTGTGAAGGATTCACGGAATATTTAAAATAGTCTTTTTTAAATATTCAAAATTGAGATTGTTTACTTACTTTATCCTTGGACTAGCAATATCTTATATCTTGTAAAATGACTGAAGTTTAAAAATGTGCTGCCTGACTTATTCTGTATTTATTTGTACACCCTGTCCTTCTAATTCTGTAGTCTGTCATAGCATGCAAGCGTTGTTTCAAGTCCATCATGGGTGCATATGTCCTTTAACTGTAAAATCACAATCTGTTCTTTGATGTAAATACCAGGATTTTCATTTTAATTTATTTTGACCATCCATGGTAACTGTGACAAAAATAAACTTTCTCCTCTTCCCCTTCTCCTCTGTCTTTCTGCAGCCTTTGGCATAATTGACCACATTACCGTCCCTAGTCCCTCTTCATTGCCATTCAGCTGGGTCAGATTGTTCTCGGAAGCTATCTACTTGAAGTTAGAGAATCCTTTCCAATGGCTTCTCTTCTTGCTCCTGGACTGTGTCCTCTAGTGCCCCTTGAGATGTTGTCTGAAAGCATGCTGTTAATTTTCATTTAGTATGTTGACAACACCCAACTCAAAATAACACTCAGCTTTATGTCAGCATCACTTACCTTCTCTTGACTCATAGAATCCCTACAGTGTGGAAATAGGCCCTTTTGGCTCAACAAACCCACACCAAACCTCACTGTATTCCATCCAGACCCATCCCCCTAATCTACACATCCCTGAACACTATGGGCAATTTAGTATGGCTAGTCCACCTAGTCTGCACATCTTTGGACTGTGGGAGGAAACTGGAGCATCCGGAGAAAACCCACGCAGACGCTGGGAGAATGTGCAAACTCCACACACAGTCACCAGAGGGTGGAATCAAACCCAGGTCCCTGGCGCTGTGAGGCAGCAGTGCTAACCGCTGAGCCACCATGCCTCCACATTTTATTAAGTTAATAGACAAATAGTATTGCGTAAGCAGAAGTTTTCCATTAAATGTTGAGAATACTGAAACCATTTTTTTGGCGGGCTTGCTCCAAACTGCATTCCCTAGCTGCCATTCCTTTCCTTGGCAGCAACTTTAAGACTAAGCCAGTCTATTTGCAATTTTGCTATTATGTTTCATCCTGTGATTAACTTCTAGCATCAAACAGTGCCTTCGATAAGACTTCTATTACCACCTCCAAAACTTGGCTTGAGTTTGCCTCTGTTTCAGCTCCATTTGCTACTGAAAGCCTCATTTGTTATCTCTACACCCAATGATTCCATGTATGTGTGGCTTGTCTCTCACATTCTACCTGCGTGAATTTGTGGTCATGAAATCATGCTTCCCATGCCTTAACTCATAGCAAATTTCATTCCCCTTTGATGCCTGTTGACTTCTTTGGCTCCTGGTCAAGCAATGTCTTCATTTTAAAGTTCTCATTGTTTTTGAATCCCTTTGGAGCTTTCTCCCTCCGTTTTGTCTGTAATATCCTCCATTCTAATGCTTCTGTCAAATACTTCAGCCTATTTCATTCTATTGAAGGCCCTTTTGTAGATGTAAATTGTTTACCAGTGAAACTTCCAGTTATGCACGTTGTTACCATATGGAGGTAGTTTAATCCTGGACTGAGATTGCTTTGACTTTCTGATAGAATTTCAGGATCCAGCTAACACAAGAAATCAGTTTTCCTACAGATAGTTGAGATTCTGATATCTTGATACTTGTGCTTGGGACTTATCCAAAAGCATTAAGTGCAAGTCGAAGCGCATTATGTGTCTGACGTGGCCACGAATGGTGGAGATGCATGTTGAAATGCAAGTAATTACTAGACAGTAGAATCTTTTCTGTTTGTTTGTTTGTTTGTTTGTTTGTTTGTTAGTTAGTTGTATAGATCATTAGATATGAGTTTTGACTCCCGTTCTTTGTCTGAAAGTTTTTTAACGAACACAACACAGCAGTGGGGTCTGTTTATTTACTTCTGTGTCTTAGTGTTACAACAAGACATAGAATAGAAATAGATTCCCTACAGTGTGGAAACAGGCCATTCGGCCCAACAAGCCCGCACCACCCCTCTGAAGAGCATCCCACCCAGACCGATTCCCTTCCATTTCCCATGCCTAACCTAAACATTCCAGGGCACTATGGGCAATTTAGCATGACCAACCCACCTAACCTGCACATCTTTGGACTGAGGAAACCCACGCAGACACTGGGAGAATGTGCAAACTCCACACACAGTCGCCCAAGGTTGGAATCGAACCCAGGTCCCTGGTGCTGTGAGGCAGCAGTGCTAACCACTGAGCCACTGTACTGCCCAAGACGATTAGGTTAGATGCCTCATCGCTAATCAGGGACCCCTGTTAAAAATACAAATATGTAATGCTAAATGGAGTTAACTCTGGAATCTGATGTCACCTTGTTTGGCATGATTTAATACTTATTGATAGGATTCATGTGCCTTCATCTCAAAACAAAACCCCTTTTTTAAAAACAACAATGTGTAATATTTTCTACTCTTCTTCTCCTGAATGGAGATTTGGAGAAATTTTCACAACACGTGCAGCCTATATGTAATCTGGTAATATTTCACTAATTTTTGTTACCCTATTCTGACTAATTGAACTTTAATTTTCTTTTAAACTTTGATTTTCTGTTAATTCCTTGTTCTGTTTTATTTATAACATGTCTTATGTAATCACTGCTGTACTCGTTGAATTACTGAAATTTTTTGTTTCCATTAACATGCCTTCTATTCTTAGCATGTTTGGTGGCTTTTCTTTCTGTTGCACGAAATGCACAGTTGCCTGCTGATTTCCTTTTGGGTGATTTTTGGAAGTAGCTTTTCTTGGAAGTGAGCACTATTGCATTTCTGTCACCTAATATGTTAAATTTTCCTTTTCTTGTTCCCTGGAATCAGTATCTTTCAATATTCGAGCCCTTGTAATTTCCTCCATTTGCATTACTTGGGCAGTTGCCAGATTTGCCTCTTAGGCTTGGGTGCCCAGTCTTCTAAAAGTTCATGCATATTTTCGTCAATGTCCAGCATTCTCGGGTTATGTTCGTGTCCGACCAAACCTCACTTGTCAGGATGGTATTATTTGTTGTCTAGTTGTTTCCAAGCCTCATTGTTCAGTTAATGCTATTTAGAACTGAAATTCTGTTATTTATATTACTGTTGCACAAATACTGTGCACTTTAAATGTCAAATGAGATTAGAAGAAAAAATGAGGCAACAATCTTTACTATGAATTATTGTGAGAGGAAATGGTAAATTTACCTTTTTTTATTGTGATTGGGTATTGCCATTATTCTGAAATGTAAATATCTCTGTCGCTTAGACATTTTGCAAGCATTTTGTTTTGCCCTGTTCACAGTGATTATACTGCTCTGATGCAATATTTTGTCAGTCATTGGATTGAAAATTCAAGCCACAATCCAGAGAACTGAGCACACAGATTCAGGATGTCAGTCAAGCGTAGAGTGGAGGCTATTCTGCATTGAAATAGCACCTCTGGCAGTGTGCAACTATCTTATCGATAATGAGATATTATTACTGAGATGCTGTGTGTTTTCTAAGATTGATGTCAGAGGTTCCAGAACATGCTTTTAAAAAATGGCAGGGGAATTGTCCTTGGGGTTCTGACCAATATTTATCTCTCAATCAACAGGACAAAAAACAAATCCAGTCATTATCACATTGCGTTTGTGTGCTAATTGGTTGTTGAATTTCCAGTAACATGGCAATATCTTAACGTAGGTAGTTTGTTGTATAGTGCAATGTGAGATCCTGAGGTTGTGAAAATTGGTACACAAATGTAAACCACATTTTTCCTTTACACGGTGCCAGACCTAGTATGACACGTGATACATTAACATGTCACAAAGTGAGTGTGCAACTTATTTCTTTGTCGTGCTTTCTTGACTTTAGAGTAACACAGCTCTGCCACACCCCTAACACCATCAGTTACTCCATGCTGGTGCTTGGGGTGATAAAGCTTAATACAAACTTTTCTTGCAGAATGTATGCACTGGCTAAATATACCATTGAGTAGATCATGCTTACCACATTTATAAGCAGTGTATTTTGTATCTTTTTTTTTAATAAAAGAATGCATATTGCAGACTGAAAAATCTTTAATTTGCAAACAAGTGTAACTACTGGGATACAACAATGTAATAACTCTCCAAAAGGGAGAGAGAGGCTTGCTTGGTAGGTTTTATTTAACAGTTTTGTGCTATAATTGAGATGAAGATTGATTCTGAAAGTTGGTATGAAACTGGTTCTGTCAACCTGTTGCCCAATTTTCTTGTCCATTTGTGATACCAGCATAGTCTGTTTTGTGTCTCTGTGTTTTGAACTTGAATTTATTATTCTTAGTTAATGTTACAATTTATCTAGATAATGAGATTTTTTGTGCTTTGTGTTGCCCAATATATTCAATGTGTGTGGACCTTAAATCTTTTCTAGGTTTTGACCTGAATCCTAATCTATTTTGATAAAGCTCATTGTTTTCTCTTGCTGCTAAGTTCCTCAGCATTTTGGGATTTAAAACTTTCCACACAAATGTTCAATTGGCCTTTGTCTGTAATGACTCCCATTTCTTCTCCCTTCAAGCTACAGGGTTTTAAATCCAAGCTTGGAGTAATTTATTAATTTCCTGTACTACCCTGTTCAGCTTTGCCTATGCCCTGAACCATGGGTCTCAACTTTTTACTTAGCTCAATTTTTAAAAAAAAAAAATGCCTAGAAGGCAAATTTTATACATTTTTGAATGGGGAAAAAAAATCAGCTTTTAAAAAAGCAAGTTTGGTAAGAGGTCTAAAATATGTTGGCCTTGTGCATTGTTCATCGATTTTTAGTATGAAATTGTGAACAGTCCATGTGAATGAACTTTAGTAATTTAAATATATCACTATATATTTTTGGTTAGGCCTTGGGTTGCAAAATGTTTATTCCTGCTAATGTTAGTATAAATTTCAGGCATTGATTGTAAGCTTGAGGACTGAAATCTATAGTCTTTTGTTTTCATTTAGGACATGCCTCATCTATGGAAGCTTCCTTTGGTTGCCAGTTGGAAAAAATATCCGCTTTTCTTTGGCTCTGCAATATTTGCTTTCGAAGGAATAGGGTTGGTAGGTGGAAATTTCTTTGCTACTATAATCTTTATCCAAAGTATAGGCAGCAAAATAGTTTGCTGTTATTAGTTTAAACTTGGCGTCACGCTTCTTTTAACCATTGTTGCGAACCTGTTGATAATTTCGTATATCACAGCCCAGGAAGGTAACTTTGCAGTTGATTGCCAAAGTGAAAAGTCGTCACAAATAATTTAAGACTTGAAAACATATTTTAACTGATTTTCACTGAAGAAAGTGACTCCCATATCTGAGTAGAAAAGAGCAGAAAGTACAGAGCAAGAACGGTTGCTCAGTGGTTAACACTGCTGCCCTATCAGTTGACTCTGGATCATCAGTAAAGTAATGGAAGGTGGCATGAAAAGTGCTATCAAGTAGCAAATGTTCAGTAATAACCTGCTCACTGATGGCCAGTTTGGTTTCCGCCAGGACCACTCCGCTCCTGACCTTGTTACAGCCTTGGTTCAAACAGGGATAAAAGAGCTGAATTCCAGAGGTGAACTGAGAGTGATAGCCCTTGCCATCAAGGATGCATTTGACCGGGTATATTATCAAAGAACCCACGTAAAATTGTAGTCAATGGCAATCAAGGGAAGTCATACGTGGCACATGGGAAGATGCTTGTGGTTGTTGGATGTCAGTCATCTCCGCTCCAAGACACCTCTTCAGGAGTTCCTCAGGATATTGTTTTTAAAATCAAACTATTTAGAGATGTCATTGCACACCTCTGGGGCAGGTGGAGCTTGAACCCAGGCCTCCTGGCTCAGAGGTAGGGACATTAACTCTGCACCACAACATCTCTCTGCTCCTCGGGGTAGTGTCTTAGGCCCAACTATCTTCGGTTGCTTCGTCAATGACCTTCCCTCATTCAGAAGGTCAGAATTGTGGTTTTTCATTTAATATCATTTGGGACTGCTCACGTACTGAAGCAGTCAATGTCTAAATTGACAAGACCTGGGCAATAGCTGTGCTTGGGATGAAAAGTGACAAGTAGAAACTCCGGTTCAGTTCCACCCTCAGGCAACTGTCTGTGTGGAGTTTGCACATTCTCCCCATGTCTGCGTGGGTTTCCTCCAGATGCTCCAGTTTCCTCCCATAGTCCAAAGATGTGCAGGCTAGGTGGATTAGCCATGCTAAATTGACCTTAGTGTTCAGGGATGTGTAGATTAGATGGGTGGGTGGGTGAGATGCTTTGACGGTCGGTGTGGACTTGTTGGGCCAAAGGGCCTGTTTCCACCTGACTCCTCAAAACCTGTCCATCATCTGCAAGGCAACTGAAGAGTGTGATGAAATACCTCCCACTTGTCTGTATGAATGTAGCCCTAACAACACTCGGGAAGCTTGACACCATGCAGGGCAAGGCAGCCTGCTTGATTGGCACCATATCTACAAATGTCACTCTCTCCACTGCCTATGCTTTGAAGCAGCAGTGTGTACTATATACAAGAAGCACTGTAGAAATTCAACAAAGATCCTTAAACAGCACCTTGCAAACACACTACCACTTCATCTGGAAGGGCAAGGGCAGCAGATACACGGGAACACCACCATGTGCAATTTCCCCTCCAAACCACTCGCATCCAGACTTAGAAAGAAATCACCATTCCTTCAGTGTCACTGGGTTGGAATACTGGATTCCCTCCCCCATGGAATTCTGAGTCTATCTACAGCACAGACTGCAGCAGTTCAAGAAAGCAGCTCACCACCACTTCCTTGAGGGCAAGTAGGGACAGGCAATAACTGCTGGTCGGACAGCAATGCCAATGATCCAAGAGTGAGTTAGCTTTGCAGGCTGTAAATTGTTCGAAGAATCTTTCCCTGATTTTGAAGGGGATGAAAACTTGAATTCAGAATTTATTAGCTGTGATGGCTTTTGTAGTTGCATAGCTGGAGATTTCTCCCATAGTTGAACTGAGAAAACTAATCTCCGAGAGGAGATGAAGCCTCCTTTTATTTTGCTTTCGCAGCACGGTGATCCATGGTAGCCTGGTTCAGTACCTCAAGTACTACGCCTTCTCTTCCTCTCCCTGTTGAGAACTATGTGTTGCAGAGTTGTTCTTTACATTCTGTTTTAAAATGGTGTATCAACCCTCTTTCAGACTGGAACATTTCTGCAACCTACTCATCGTTCAGCCTCTACACAGCTTTGTGCCATCTGCCAATTTGGAGATATTGTATTTAATTCCCTCATACAAATCATTAATATATGTTGTGAGGCCATGTGAGATAGGAGCAGAGATCGGGCATTGAGCCGATCGATTCTACTGTGCCGTTGAATGAGATCGTGGCTGACCCAATAGATGCTTCACAGAGTATCTCCGTCTTGAATGATTCAGCTTTTACAGCACTCTGTAATAAAGAATTCCACAAGACTGCTGCACTCAGAAGAAATTCCTCCTCGTCTCCGTCTTAAATAAGTGCCTCCATATTCTGAGATAATGCCGTCTGATCCTGGACCCTTCACAAAGGGAAACAATCCTTCTGTGTCTATCTTGTCAAGCCCCATAAGTATTTTGTATGTTTCAATAAAATTACATCTCATTTTTCAAAGCTCCAATGAATACAGCCCAAACCTAGAACAAAAATGAAGTTGCTGGAAAAACTCAGCAGGTCTGGCAGCATCCGTGAAGGAGAAAACAGTTAACATTTCGGGTTCGGTGACCCTTCCTCAGAACAGCCCAAACCTACTCCATCTCGCCTCATGTGACTATGAAGGTCTATCCATATGGATGATCACTGGATTGTCTCCAATGCCCAGTATATCTTTCCTTAGATAAGAGGCCCAAAACTGAAAACTGTATTCCAGCTGTGGTCTGATTAGTGCCTTGTAATTTAGGCTAGACCTCCCTATTTTTATATTCTGTTCCTTTTGAAATGAAGGCCAGTATTCCACTTGCCTTCCCTATTACCTGCTGAATTTGTACATTAGCTTTTTGTGACTTGTGCATAAGAACTCCCAAAACCCCTTTGTGCTGCAGCTGAAATAATATCTGGCTCCTCTGTTCTTCCTACCAAATGCATAACCTCATTTTCCCACATTATATTACATCTGTCAAGTTTTTATCCACTTGCTTAACTCCTTTTTTATATCCCTCTGCAGATACTGTGTTATTCCTCGTCACTTGCCTGTTTTGTTGTGTTTGGCTGTTGTACATTAACTTTACTCATCTAAGTCATGAATATATATTGTGGCATTCAATGAGTTGCAGGTTGCCATCTTAAAAATATCCCGTTATCTAACGCTGTCTTCTACTAATTAGCCAATTCCATGCTGATACACTGTCATGGACATCATGGAGTATTGTCTTACTAACTAACCTATTTTGTTCTACCTTTTTCAAATGCCTTCGAAATTCCAAGTGTATTATATCCATTGCTTCCTCTGTATCCAACCTGCTTGTTACCTCCTCAAAGAATTCTAATAAATTTGTCGGGCAGGATCACCCCTTCATGAATCCATACTGATTCTGCTTTATCACGTATTGTATTTTTAAATGTTTTGCAAATGTATCCTTTAGAATTGACTCTAACATTTTCCCAGTATTCGATGTTAAGTTAACTGGCTTACCTGTCTCTTTTTCTGTCTTCCTGTTTTTAAATAAAGCTGTTACACTGGCAGCTTTTCGGTTGTGAGGGCCTTTTCCAGAGTCTAATGAGTCTTGAAAGATTACTGTGAGTGCATCCTCTGTCTCTTTAGTGCAGATATATACAGCACATTAACAGACCATTCAGTCCAACTCGTCCATACCAATCAGATATCCTAAATGAATCTAGTCTCATTTGCCAGTATTGGCCCATTTCTCTCTCAATCCTTTCTGTTTATGTACCATCCAGGTACCTTTTTTAAATGCTGTAATTGTACCAGGCTCCTCCACCTCCTCTGGCAGCTCATTCCATACACACACCACCCTCTGTGAAAAAGTTGCCCCTTAGGTTCTTTTTTAAGTCATTCCCCTCTCACCTTTAACCTATGCTGTCTAGTTTTGGAATCCCCTATCTTGAGGAAAAGGCCTTGGCTGTTCACCCTGTCCATGCCCCTGAAGTTTCTCACATCTTTGCTATGGCAATGAGACCAAAATTGAATGCAGTATTCCAAAAGTGGCCTGACCAATGTCCTGTACAGCGGCAAGATGACCTTCCAACTCCTATATTCAATGTACTGGCCAATAAAAGCAAGTGTACCAAGCACCTTCACTACCCTGTCTACCTGTACTCCACTTTCAAGGAACAATGAATCTGCACTCCAAGGTATTTTTGTTAGACAACACTCCCCAGGACCTTGCCATTAAGTTTGTAAGTCCTGCCGTGATCTGCCTTACCAAAATGCAGCACCTCGCGTTATCTAAATTAAACTCCACCTGCCACTCTTCGGCCGATTTGCCCATCAAGGCCCCATTGTACTCTGAGGTAATCTTCTTTGTTGTCCACTACACCACCAATTTGGTCTCCTCTGCAAACTTACTAACCATACCTCCTATGTTCACATCCAAATCTTTCATATAAATAACAAAAAGCAGTGAACCCAACACCAGTCGTTGTGGCACACTGCTGGTGATAGGCCTCTAGTCTGAAAAGCAACTTTCCACCACCACTGTCTGTCTCCTACCTTTTTTGAGCCAGTTTTGCATCTAAATGGCTAGTTTTCCCTATTTTCCATGTGATCTAACCTTGCTAACCAATCTACCATGTGGGACCATGTCGAACCTTTTGCTGAAGTCCATATAGACACTGTCCATGCTCTGCCTTCATCAATTTTCTTCCTCACTTCTTCAAAAAAAAAACTCAATCATGTTGATGAGACACAATTTCCCATGCACAAAGCCATGTTGACTATCCCTAATCAGTCCTTGCCTTTCCAAATGCATGTATATTCTGTTGCTTGGAAAGCCTTTTTAACAACTTACCCACCACTGACATCAGGCTCACTGGTCTATAGTTGCCTGGCTTTTTTTTTACCACCTTTCTGAAATAATGGCAGCACATTAGCCAACCTCCAGTCT